CGCGTGACAGAAATGGTCGGGCCGCAGGCCCGACCATCGCCGCCGGCAGGCCAAGCAGGCCCGGCCCCTGCCGAACGGAGTTGCCGGCGCAGCGAAACGAAGCTGGCAACTGCGTTTGGCGGAAGGGCGGGCCTGCTTGTTTATTTACGGTCCAGACTGTAAAATGAACACCGTAAACGCACGTTACAGAGATCCATAGTGAGACAAAATCTACAAAAACGCATTTGAAATTTCAACCTACTAGGTCTAGCATTAGAATCCGACTCAACTTAAATTTTACAGTCCAGGCTGTGACAGATCAGACTGAAAATTGAATAAAGTCTAGTCGTATTCTACAGTACAGTGCAAATTGTAACAGGTGGTAGCAGGTCCAACTGTAAAATTGAAAATAGTCCGACCGTAAAATTAAATACAGTCAGGACTATATTAAAATTGATTGGCCGTCCTGAACGAGTTACTGTAGGTCTTAAATGCGGCGTGTAGCGCATACAATCTTACCGTGCACCATTGTCCATATCGAGAGCGCCGAGGAACAGGATTTGCAAGTCGGGCTGCTTGGCTGGAGGCCCCGCGCCGGCAGGGGCGGGCGGGTCCAAGTTCGTGCGCAGGAAGGCGCCGTACTGCAGCGCCTGCCCCTCGGCCAGCGGGCCTCGGCGGGAGCGCCTGTACAGGGCCAGGTCACGACGCCGGCTCGCCGCGTCCACGACGCACAGCGGCGGGCCGCACGAGAACTCCAGCCCCGCCGCACGCGCGTGGTCCTCCAGTTGCTCGCCCACCGGCAGCTCAACAAGCTGAGTCACGTTCAGCTTCTGCGGCCGACGGATTATTTACAGACAGATGGGATGCCAAGTCAATAAAGCATTCCGGTAAAGCTGAAATGCCGAAGAATGATGGGGAGAAGAAAACGGAAATCGCTATGCTTTAACATAGTGACTTCCGTTTTCTTGTTCCCTGCATCCCTCTGCATTTCAGCTCAACGGGATGATTTATTGAAAATAGGCTAGACAGACGACGTAAGTCCAATTAGCTTAGCTTTCACGTATTAAGGTGGATTCAGAGTTCCCTAAAAGCGAGCGTGATTCTGACGCAAAGCGTGATTTTCACGCCCGGCGTGATGAAAGACGGTCCCTGATTGGCTGCGTGAAGCTTATGAAGCGCGAAAATCACGCCTGGCGCGAAAATAACGCTTGCGTTCCGTGAACTCTGAATCCACACTCACACCGTAAAAGGTCACCATGTAAATGTTCATTATCCATGAAAGATAATTGGAAACAAACATCCTTCTCGTCTCGGGATGTTAATGACTTTCGTGCCTTTGCAGATGCACTTAAGACTCGCTCGCCTAGAGTGCCTTTCTTAAGGCATTGAAATTGAGCACCTTCAAAAGGCACACGTCCGACCTTTGTTCTTCCAGTGATGTAACAACTACAGTCCAAAATTTTAATTTCATACGAGCACTGCCTACTGGCGTAGAATCGAATGATGAGCAAGACTGGGCGATTGTACAAGCACAACACATGTTGTAAATGGTAAATTGTAAAATAAATCTTACATTTACGAACCCATTTTTGACAGTGATGTAAGAATATCCCTGGAATTATTTCAAATGTTTGATATTGGGGACCAGCTACATGCGTTAACCCCTTTTTTGGGCCAAAAATAGGTTCTTTTTTCTGTGTATCTTACTGTTTAATCTGTTATCATAAAAAAAAAAATCATATATGCTTAAGGCTTGTGCGGTGCAAAGGTGCGAAGCCAGAGGCCTAGTAGTTGAGGTCAGGGGCTCGGATGCCTAGCCTCTTTAGAGTAGTGATAAAGACTTATTCTCAAACGGATACATCGCCGTTACCGGGCCGACCCAAGCAAGGGCAGGGGCGCTGCTTGTGCTGTCGCGCAGGCAGGTGGCCAACTTCCTGCTAAGGTGTTTGATGTCTGGATGAGTTTAAACTGTACTAAAAAGATTATACTGTACTATCCGACGAAGCTGAGATTTAAAGTATATACAAAGAGTTGGTGGAACGTTGCTGCTAACATAACAGACAACTTGATTTCACTGGCAATCGTGTCAATGAACTTATGTCCCAAAACAATCAACTTTTTTATTTAAAGGTATTTTGACACGAAAACTATATATTCTGAAAATAGACCGAAATTCAATCGACTCGATTTTTTTGGACATACGTTCGATGACACAATTACCAGTGATTTGCTTTAAGCTAGGCTCAAGAAGCTAACAAATTTAATTGAAAATAAAATTTCAACCCGCTTATCAGTAAAGTGAATAATGCCGAATTATGTCAAATAAGAACTGAGACGAAATCTGTTTAACATCCCCCGTGGAGAAATCCTGACAGAGTCGAAAAAATTTTGTACGGACATTGACGGTTTACCAAAAGTTTTCGGCTGGCGAAGTGAAGTTTCACTAAGGGAGCTAACCAGTTCTAGAACTAGGTTCCACTATGGCAGGTCGAGTGAGATATAGCGGCTGACCTTGCGGGACGGGTAAAGGCCCTTTTCCTGTAGAGCAGCATGAACTTTTTAAACAAACCCGTTTCTACCACACCACTCGGCCCACACGGGCCGCGGGGTCCCAGGGCGTACACTGTTGGAAATTCCGTAGGCTAATTACGGAATTCTTACGGAACTCACCGTAAATTCCAATTACGGTACCAAACCGTAACGGGATGACTGTAATTAAAAGATACAGACTTGTCCGTATTTCAAATAACGGTGCATCCCGTACATTTTCCCTGTCAAATTAAATATTAAATATTATTTGAAACAAATAGTTTAAACAACTGAGCTGTTCATAGAGATTTATGTTATTGCCTTTTTCGCAAAACCATAACTTTACGCTCTCGTATCTCTCAAAATCAAATTCTTCGACTTACAGTGCAATTTATCATTTTTCCTAATCATTCAGTCAAAATTTGACGGAAAAACTTACGGTTTATCCGTAACTTAAGAATACGTTTTTTCCGTATGGTTTGCGTAGAAAATACGGAAAAATTACGGTACATTCCGTGAAAAAAATTTCTTGACAATTCCGTTCAAAATTCCGTGGAAATTTCTAACAGTGTAATACCGGCGCGACCACCTGTTGAAATGCAATTTCACATTACCTCAGTACTACCAACAATCGCCCATTTGCTGAGTGTACCCATAACAGAGAGCTTAGATTTCTGGTGGACAAACCGCGGGACAAACGCACTTTCTGCGGTGCACACAATTATGCTACCTTACCGACAACATAGTTTAAATCCAGGCACTAGGTGGTCAGTGCCTCGGTCAGAGCAAACACCTCTATGTTCAGTGTTGCAGGTTTCATACCATTTCGTGCTGCAGGGGCAGCGAAGCAGTATGGGCTAACAGTATAGGCCAACTCACAACACTGTTAAACACCGTACAACTGGAAATGTATAGTTCTTTATTTACATTAGGGTACATAAATTCGTTTTTTCATCAAGGGATCGCTTCGCAGTTTACACAAAGTGCTTACCCTTTTTTTAGACTGGGCGGTAGTCTTGCTATCTGGATAGTTAAATGTAATTATGTTTCTGTAGTATACTGCACACTGTTAAAAAATCTGTACTCTCATGTAAAGCATTCACTGACACTGTAAACTGGTTGGCGTCTAATGACGCAAAAATATTGGCGTTTTCTGGCGAGGGCCAAATCTTGGCGTTAAGGGACGCCAATATCTCACGTTTCGAGAAAAAAAACGCCGCCATTCGACGTTCAAGGACGATAATATTTGGCTTTCTGAGAAGAACACCAACCAGCTCCAGTAGCGACAAAAGAAAACGAAAATTTTCTGATCTCCACTATGAAAGATGTCAGTAAACAATTCAGTAGTATCAGATGTTTTCTTAAGTGTTCCTGCAGATGGTTCCGCACGGATTGGTCTGCACTCCTAAAACGTGGGCTTATCCATACATTTTACGGTGGATCTGCCGATAGCAGTAAACGGTAGATACGCACCTGCAGCTCCGAGGCCAAGCCGATTCCGGAGAGCTGCAGTATTTGCGGAGTGTGGAGGGTCCCTGCGGTCAGCACCACCTCCTTCCTCGCTCTGGCGGTGTGCACCTGCGGACACGGGAGCAGCAGCCTGGATGGGTTGCCTTGGCACAGGCGTATGCTGCCTTCTTTCAGACCAATCAAATAAAGCAAACAAGGCAGGGGGGATTACCGACCCCCCCCCTAATCCTCCCCCTTACCGCCGCACAGACAGGAGCACACGCGGCGATGCTTACCTGCCCGGCTGCGTCCGTGTACTCGACCCCAACGGCCGTCGGCTTGCCCTTGTAGCGATGCTCGAACAGAACCCGGGTGGCCTTGGCGAACGTCTCGACGTGCAGGTTGGGCCTCCCCAGCGCGGGTAGAAGGTAGCTCCTGCACGCACCGAAACGGCAAATGAAAAAACAAGCAGGCCCGCCCTTCCGCCAAACGGAGTTGCCAGCTCCACTTCGCTGCGCCGGCAACTCCGTTCGGCAGGGGCCGGGCCTGCTTGGCCTGCCGGCGGCGATGGTTGGGCCTTCGGCCCGACCATTTCAATCTCGCGATTTACTGAAGTGCATCATCAAATAAATAATGTGACCGGTAAATCACTTTGCATATTTGAGTAAAAATAAAGCGTCCTGTGGGGGGGCCTGCGGCCCTAGAAATTTGCTCCTTGGACATGACAAAAGACTGTAACGGGGCAACACCGTGACTACACCCCACCCTTCTGCTTTGCTTACAAAAAATTAACCCACGCAGTTTCTAGATTGTATATTGTTTGTCAAACAGTCCTAAAACTTAACTTTCTGCTATTGTTTTCAATATATCCACCTCTATGGCCGAAACAGTGAAAGATACGGCAAATCCGAGGCTAGTTCCTGATTCAGAATGTTTTTTTTTTTTTTTGGGGGGGGGGTACTTCCTCTGCTATTTTACGATTGGACACCTCCTTGTACGTCTTTATGTGCAACGTGGTCATTTTCGCCGTATTTTCGTCGAAAAAAGCACTCTAGCGCCCAAACGGTGCAAGATAGAGGCAAACGGACAAAATTTTCGCCCATAGGGCTCTACTTTCACGAGTTACCCCTTAGAAGACAATAAAAAATATTTTTTTTCCTACTTTTATGACCAACCCGTATTTCTTTGTTACCCCCTTTCACCCCCCTAGGGGTGGTTGCCAGGATTTGCACCAGGCGTTTCGTTGTCCAGGAGTGACCCCT